CCCTGCCCAGGCCCGCTGCCGCCGGCCGCCGCTTGCCGCTTGCCCTTGTGCCTGAGGTGACGGGAAGGGGGGAGGTGGGAGGAAAAAGAAGTCGTCTTTTTTCCCCTCCCCTCTTTTTCCTAACGGTTTGAGGTGCCCAAGTGCTTGTAGGCCTTGATCCTAACAAAGTCTCTCACAGAGCAGCTGAGCGGGCGTGAGGGCTGGTGCTGGGTACGCAGCGGTTTTGCAAGACTTTCAGGGATGGTCTCACCCTTTTAAGGGAGTCCTTCAGCTGAGGACTGAAACGTTGTGCTGACTGAAGGCGATGCGGGTGCGTCCTGGCAGGATCTGAGGCAGAGATTTGTCACCTTGCGTGAGCATTTCGCGGAGAAACCAGTAATAGAAAAGCTTGTTTCAAACTGCAAAAACATTTCTGTTATATTGCAGAATTTGGCAGAAAAAAAGGGCACCTGAGTTTTAGGCCTAGTAACACTGGTATTTCACGCTTTCAGCACCTGCTGCCACTAGTAGCTAACGGTCTCTGTTTATACTGCTGGAAGATGTGAAATTCTTTCTCGTCCTTTATGTAGACTTGAATAGCGTATTCTCATACTTCCATTTTTCTTCTAAGAAGGGTTTCTTTGCCATTTGAAGCATGGAGGCAGATTCTCATGATTGTTATTTGTACTTCAAAAAAACGGTTCAATTTGAAGCATCTTCTCCTTTTAAGATGGTGAAAATGGCTCTGAGGAGAAATGTGCTGATTTAGCTTTTCTGTTCAACTCATAGAATTATTTAAAAAAAAAAAAAGTATAGCTAATTCCTGTAGTTAATTGTCAGTATCGAGAATATTATTGCGAATTCGAGCTCTTCCCCATTTGGCTTCCAACAGAGAAGGCAGATTGATTTTTAAACTCAGCTTAGAAAAAATTTTAAACATTAACACTGTCTTTCTTGATTTGGAGGTACATATTTTAATTTTTTGAGTTATTCTGGCTTTCTACAGTCCGTAGGGTAGGCGAAGTAGGAGACAACGTAGATGTTTGACATCTTTTCACTTAATTGAAATCAAAAGGAAAGTAACATTTGCATTCAGTGTTGCACACTAAGACGGGAAAGAAGATCTGCAGCAGCAGTGTTCCTGATCTTTACGTCTCCTCTCCTATATCAGGTGACTCGAAGGGGATGAGAACCAAGGGCATGGCAGACACCGAGGAGTTCGCAAGAGCATTTTGTGTATAGACAGGTATTATAAAGCAGAAAAAGAGAAATTGCCGTAGTCTTTCTGACTCGTGTTTCTGGTTGTAAGACAATAGAAAATGTTTCAGAGAAGAATATAAAGGAAAATTATGGAATAAGTTTGTTTAGTAGCTGATCTGTACACTGATACTTGAGAGTTTAGTCGTTCTTCTTACTTAAAAATGAAATCCTAGCATAAATATTTACTGTATGTTCTTGCTATCCATATAAATACAGCTACAGATGTAGTGGGTCGTTCAGGTCTTTCCCTCTAACCCCCAGTTAAGACCCTTTCTCCACCTTTTAAGTATGGCAAAAGTTCCCAGTTCCTCCCCTCACATAACAGCTCAACATTTTCCAGTCTTCATAAATTCTTGGTCCTTGTGAACGTTAGATAGCTATAAACTCTACCAATAGTAATGTGCCATGTTAAAAAGCATTTCCCTTTGTCACTTGTGTATTCTCAGCTTTTCAGTTTCACTGATGGTGTACTCTAGTTAGAGAAGAATTAAACAGTTAAATGTCATCTCTTTAAAATAACTGCATGTTTTCAGTGTTTCCTACTTGGAAGCCAATCATTTTTACTCTGCTTTTCTGAATCTCTTCTCCCTCCTTATCCCATTTGTCATAGGTCACTTATGGGCTGCTTTATTGAGGTGACTGAAATTGGAAGCAAGCTTTGCAAGAATTGACTAGACGCCCCTCCATTCGTAATGTAAAAAAAAAAAAAAAAAAAAAGGAGGAAAGTGTCCTCCCTTATTGTGTGAAATAAGGAGTGCGATATCCCCAGGTTTGTGAGAGAAACACAGACACGTGAAGGAAATTTGAACCGTATGAACCAATTTGTATCTTTTCAAAATAATATATAATAGATAATAGAACTCTGTCTATTATATATTTCCTGCCACATTCAGATTGATTTAATTTTGCACAAACTCTTTTAGTGAAGTGCTGAGATGTTTCAAGTTTTCATTTTAAATTTACTTTCCAAAGATTTTTCTCCTATGTTCTCAAATAAGCGTACAGCAGAAATATGTTATAGTATCTTTACAGAAAAATTGGATTCTACCTGAACTGACACCTTGAACTTTCATTATAAACTATCAGGTGATACAAAATTAAAAGCATGGTTTTTAGAGAAGAAAAGGGTTTGGTAATTGAACAATTCCCAGCCTTTTCAGAGCAATGGGTATAATATGCAGTAAAAGTTGTTCATGAAGAAACTGTAGCACATTGATGTTTTTCATTTAAAAAATGCATAAATAAAAAGCGTCTTTTAGGTACCATTTGACTACGCAGTGCTTTGCTTAGCAGATAGACTAAAAACTGTAACTTGTGTGTGACGATGTGTGTTACTCGATCCTGATTCAAAGGCCAAGTAGTGACAAACGTGTAAATCAGCAGCTGAGAGTCATGCTCATGCTTAAAGAGCATGTAGGAACATGTTCAAGTTCTGCTGAAATCAGGGATACTTACACCATGGCTGAGTGCTTTTGCTGAATTTGGGTCACTAATCCTGATAAATAGCTGGCTCTAAACTACATTGCCTCTAAGAACAGTACCCAGGGACACTCACACTTTCTTTCTTCTTTCTTCTTTTTCTTTCTTTCAGTGAGCGCTGAAGTCCCTGAGGACATTTCATAAAATTGAATGTACTTCAGCCAGTAGCAAGAGCTGTTATGACTTACATTGCGAAAAAATGTGGCATTTGCTTTCAGCCTCCATCCATTATCCTCATCTATAAAGAAGAAGACAAGGATAAAACTCGCCAGCGTATCATGCCTATCCGAAATTTCTCAAAGTTCTCAGGTGTGGTGTATTCATTTGTGGCATTGCTTAGATCCACTCTACACACAGCAAAAGGAACAGCTAGTTGGTAACACAGTATTTTTAGTGACTGTTGGGCAGCTTCTCACCAGCATCCAGCGAGTGCATAAGGGGACTATTTTAGGGTGATACAGAGACAGTATCGGCACTGTCTCCACTGAGGAGCCCCAGGCTGCATGCTAACGTGAGTAGTCGCACTGCTAAGTTTGGATGTCTTGTGCGTGTGAGAGTTTAGGAAAAGGGGATGTGTTTATATGATGACTGTTTGCTTGCATCTATAATTCTTCATGGTGGTCTTCTCTTTAGACTGTAGCAGAGCTGCTGAACAGTTGAAGAATAACCCTCGGCACAAAGCTTACCTTGAAGGAGTCTCGCTACACCAGTTAAAGAAGTTCTACAGTTTGTTGAAAGGTCATTTGGGAGGACAGAGTCTGGCTGAGAGCTTGGAACAGATTCATCAGGAAGAGACAATTGACCCAGAAGAGGATATGAACAAATTAGATGACAAGGAACTAGCCAAAAGGAAGAGCATCATGGATGAGCTCTTTGAAAAGAACAGGAAGAAGAAAGATGACCCAGATTTTGTCTACAATGTTGAGATTGAGTTTCCCCAGGATGAGCAGCTGGAGTCCTGTGGCTGGGATGTGGAGTCAGGTGAAGAAATCTGATTCCGGACAAAGACTTCTTAGATGGACAGTTCAGAGAGAAAACTGATGTTCCTAACATAGAGTGCTGTTATTGTACTTATGCTACTGCGTCATTTTCAATTTATGCACTTGATGCATATTATATTGACTATAGAGAAAACAAGGACTAAGATGTTACAGCAATTTCAGATTTAAAAAACTTTATTTAAAAAGTTCAACTTGATGAAATGGAAATGGGGTAGCAGAACCTGAGTTTTTTCATCTTTACATATTCATGAATGCCTAAATAATTTTAAATCATTAATCTATCGTAATTCATCTATCATTTATTTACATTTCAATCAACTTTGGCAGAAGACCTCACCATCTTGCGTTGCTATGATTTCTGTTCAGCTTCATCTTAAAATGAAGTGTTAAATATTTATATCTTGAAAGCAATGCTCAAGTTTTATTGCTTGGATATGGTATTTATTATTACTTGTTGGAACATTAAATACATATTAGTCTATTTTCTGGATAAATCAACATTGCAATGAGAATATTACTTTCACATTTCCTGAGTGATGCTTAAATCACAGGTTACTCAAATATAAACTCTTATATTTAAGAAACAATTTTTAGAAAAGCTAGTTCTGACAGTACTCCTGAAAAAACAGTGATTGTGAATTGATAAAATAAGGTATTTTCCTTAAACTACTAGATAATTTTCTGTCAGTAAGTGCTTGGCTCTGGGAAAACGTGCTTAAACTGTATGAGTAAAGTCACAAAAGCTAGAGGTGTCTTTAGAATAAAGCAAAATCTTCACTACTGTTTTCTCATCAGGCTACAGTTCCAAACTCATTTTAAACAATACTAGCGGAGAACTTGACAAGTAAATAAAGCTATGGCAAATTCCTCAGTGATCATCAAAACACTATCTGGAGGACCTTTATCTCTGCAAATTAGTGTTTTATTTATCCCACTCAAGGTTTTAATCCCACTGTCTACCTCACTCAGTTTGTACTAGTGAGGTCCCACTCTCTTGTAAGAATTGGAAGACTAAATCTAGGACTCTCTAGGAAATTATGTGATACTGAAGCTTCCCAAGTTTTGGCTTCCTGAATTTGGTTGGGTTGTGAGGGTACTGAGAGGAGTGAGCCTTCATCTTGAGTTGAATATTCTCAACAAACAGATGCCTGAGGTAACTAAAAGGAGCTCTAAATTGCCCCTGAGGCTGATTTATTTCCTATCTTTCCTCCTTCTGCAACCACAAATGAATTAAAACATGCCAACTTTATCAGTAAGACTTTCAAAGCACAGAAATTGGTATTTGGAATAGTTCTCTTCTTAAAAATGGAAATGATAGAACCAATCCTATGAAAAATGCCAGATGAGTGTAAATTAAACCACTGTACTTTGTCCTGAAGCAAATGAGTGAGCTTAAGTTTGTCCAAGGCAGTATTTATTTCAGAAGAGAAAGAAATTGATGTCTCCTTTACCAAAAATTACCAAAATAAAACCTGACTTAGCTTTTCCACTATTGGATGGTGTATGTATATATCTGGCACAATCAATCCTTTCTCTGCTTCCAGTCAAAAATTGCAGCATATCAGCGTATAAAGATCTTGATGCAGATTCAGAAGTAAGTCTTGGTGAGTTCATTCTTAATATTGTTTATCTGTTGGCGATCAGCACAGAAACTCAATTCAGCGTGGGAGACCTTGGACTCTGCCATTTTATGCAATGAGCATTAACTTACCTATTTTCAGTGGGTCACTTCAAGCAAATGTAACTGCTCATGAGGCAGAAAATTTCAGTCCATTTAGAAAGATAGCTTTGGTTAGTGTCTTAAGTAGAAGTAAAGTTGCTGAAGCAACAGGTTACAGGAATTATGATCACTTCAGCCTTCCCGTTTTCTAGCAAAATGATAAAAAACATCCCAGCACACTGGGTGGAATTCCCAACTGCTATTTGTGTATCCTCAGACAACGCTAGCTAGAATTAAAAGGATTGTACATCAGGGCAAAATCAACCAAAGCCAAAAGCAGGCTATTGGTTTAATGTGATTAGCCTGATAAGGACATTAATTAGATCAGTGATTTTTGAAAAAACAAGCCAGTGATGACAACCATGAATATTTACAGCGTTCTCACATGGCAGGGTCCTAGAGAACCAGCACATTTATAAATCTTATGTCAATACGCAGATTCCAGTCAGATCAAAGCAACCTTTCAGAGACTAATTGAAAGTTACTCGTCTTCAGTGCCCCATTTATCAGAAGGGTTTCGTTGACTAATTTGCAATGAAATTTCTGCTAAATATTTTACCAAACATGCCAGACCTGCACATTTACTATCTCCAAGCTCAGCGTAGTCATATTATTATGCTAGAGAAATGTGTATTTTTATTCTTGGTGAAGGTGGGCATCCTAAGAACATAAAATGACTGGTGCTAGATGGAAGGAGAGCCGAGAAACACAGCTACTTACAGCATAGTATTCAGATACAACATGGTTTCTGCACAAAGGGAAAGTTCAGCATAAGAGCAGAAAGCCAAGCTATATCCTTGTCAGGTGTTGTGACAGGCCACAGCAGGACTTTTCATCTCTGTTTTCTCAAACACATCCTCTCCCCTGCTGCCGCAATGCTTGGCAAAAGGCTATCGTAGAACAACGTGCTTTAGTAACTGCTAGGTTTCTTTTCACATACACCTGGGTATATTAAATTCCTTCCTTCCTGAAAGATTTATTGCTTTCTGCTTCCTGGATAAACTGATAATGAGGAAGAAATTCCAGCTTCCCTGGGCCTTCTCAACCTATAATTCCAGTAGCATATGATTCCCCCTTGAAGGACTGCATTAAAACCAGGGCTTTTTCCACCCTGTTGAACAAGCCTAATTAAAACCAGAGCATTTCCCCAGGAAAGCTTAATCTTCGTGTCAGGACTTACGTGCAAGTGCTTTGAGGTTAAATTACACCTGTGAAAGACTTTAAAATGGCTGTATTTTGATAACTTTGAAACTTAGTTGGTGTGGAAATGTTTCCTGGCGTTTGGTTTGAAGCTCAGGCTTAGTGTTTTATCAATTGCTGTAGAGACACAGAAAACTGTTTCATGAGGGCTATCTGTAATGGATGATCTGAGTCTAGTTTCTCATTTCAAGGTAAACTTTTACTTTCTACCTATGGAACTCCTGCTTTACAGAATTACAGTTTAACCAAAATGTACATTATTATGCATCCACTGTGCCAGACACTGACTCTGTTCTGGCTGAAAGTCATCTAAACCATCTACACCACACTGCTAGTTAATGACAGATTGAATACGTGTACCTTCTGTAGCTGACATTTTGCCTGGAGATATACATGCCCAAAACTTCAGGGATAAAGAATCAAAACAAAACAGAAAGGCAAAATGCATAAGGCTGGATAGAGAGGTAACAGCAATTACCTTTAAAATAAAAGCAATGGAGAAAAATGTAAGGAAGAAAAAAAAGCAGCATACTAGGAAAAGCTTCATGATGCAGTGTGGGACTTGTGAAAATAGCTCTGTTTTACGCTCCAACAATTCATTTGGACAAAGCCCTAGAGAACATACCAGGTGGCTTTGCTCCTCAAAGTATGGATGTAGAGATCGCAGTGGCTCTGTTCCCTCCTCCAGTTTCTTTAAGGCTCCAAAGGACTTGGAGAAAATATCCTTGCTGCTTGGTATCAGCCCTCCCCAAGGTAATAAGATTAGCTATTTTCTACATAAATATCATCCTTCTGAGAGTGTACTTAGCTGTTCATCTCTGCCTCCCCCTTCCTAGAGGAGAGTTCTGTGTGTGTGAGAGCTGCGCACAGGCCAGTGCCTGCTTGTTTTAACATGCGTTTTATTTTAACATGCATTGCTATGAATGTGTCTTGATGAAAGCATGTCAAAGAACTGAGGGGGCAGGAAGTGGCCAGGAAAGGAGAAAAAGCAAAATATCCGATGAAAAGTCGTTATGCAAAGAAATTGGGCTGCTTGCCCACAGTAGAGCAGCTGCAGGGAGACGCTCACTACAAAAGAAAAAAAAAGAGTGGCTGTGCCACAGCAGCAGGGAGAGAGGAGAAGCCTGCAGGACTTTGGGTAAATATTGCACAGACAACCCTTAAAAATCAGCAGTCTCTCCAAAGGAAAAAAGTCCCAGGGCTTACTGCAATTCTTCCAAAGAATTTGAACACTGCAAGGCAGCACTGCCCTCTATCCAGTAGAGACTTATATAGCTACTGTAATGACTCCTTATTTTTGTCATGTCACCTCTCAATACTAGCTAGAGAAGAGTCAGAGCCCACCAGCATCCTCTGCTTTGTGTTGGTACTATCAGAGGAGAAAGGTGAACCTGGGACATCACATAAGAGGAAGAGATTTCTTACTGAAGAAGAGTATTTCTTCCCTGAAGAGTATTTCTGCCAAGGGGTGCTGCAGCCAGACTGCCATGGTCGCTGCATACGCCCAGACTGACTTCTTGAGCCATCTGCAAGTCCTCCTCTGCTGTGGACTGGGCTCCTTGCCCAGGAAGGATGAGGAACTGCTTCCTCATTGGCTGGCTGGCACCATACCAGCCAGGTTCATGGCTCCTAGAAGGGCTCTCACCATGAAAAGAAGAAAATGCCATACCTCTAACAGAGCCTCTTTCTATATAGTTACCCACAGATGGGACTTCAGTGATAAAGCTAAGACATTTTAACACATTTCCTGTCAGCTCTGGAAGACCAGCAGAGCCAGCTAAAGAATCTGTAGCCTAGTGCTCTCCTACGTCAGCAAAATCAGCCTAAGAGATTCAAATAAACCACATTTGTGTAAAGCTGCTGAAGACAGTGATTATGGTAATGATTAAGTAATTTGGCCTGCAAAGCTTTTTTTACTGGTGATGATGCAAGAAAAAGCTTGCCTCAGTCTGAATTTATAGGGCTGGCAGTTAGAAGAGCCCATGGAGCCCGTGTTCCACTTGTCAGCTAAGAAAGTCAGATCTGGAAGTCACTCAGAGGCAGGAGCTAAAGAACCTCCCTAGGACATTTTTCAGGATAGAATAAACCATGCAAAATGGGAGGATACACACATTTCCTTCCCTTTGGACAGTATACAGTTTCTGCAGATTATTTATTGCATACCAGGGCAAGAACACTGATGCTGCTTGCTTTTGCTCTTAAATGTGCTTGGACTTGTTGTCTGTGTTTATACTATATTATGCCCAAGATTATTAAGATTTATTAAGATTTGCAGATGTTTTTGACAAAGAACCATTAACGCTAATAACTAAAAAAAAGACAAAGAAGGCTGTAATAGAAAACATCTTGCTCCATTTCCTTTCCCTGTGTCTTTCCTGCATTGGCCATCTGGAGCTAAACCTTCCCAAAAACATAGCACGAATGAATTTTGCCTAAGCTGAGCACTAGGCAGTGGCTCATCTCAGTAAAGAATTAATATTAAGATCTTATGCATGAAATGTCCTGAATGGAGGAAGAAGGTCAAAGGTGTCAGACTGAAGCCTGTTGAGTGGACTATCCTCAGAGGTGGGGTGGGCAGCGGATATAGGTCAGGAGTAGTTTTTCTGAGTCAAGAGGATGCCAGACAAGCCAGCCAGCCAGTCTAGAACGGCTGAAAGACTGCAAATGACAGTAACAACTTAATGCAATGCTTGCGCTTGCTTGGTCAGATGCTTATTTTGTGGATGTCTGCTGGCATATTGCCCCCACTCCCTCTGCCACAGCAACCATTGTACCTACTGGCCAACCTTGACCGTATTTGACAGGTCAAGGGATAGCCCGAAGTGGTGTAGAAGAAATCATCTCACTTTTTTTCTCTCAGCTCTGGAGCAAGTACTCACCTGTTAACATTTCCCAGAAAGCATGTCCATAAATTACCTGCTATGCCATTTATAGACCCAATAGTCACCTGCATGACCCTCCTCCACGCTCCATGCCTTTGGCAGATGAACCTGGAACTGGCCAAAAGGGGTGATGAGACCAGTAAACCAACAGGCAGAGAGCTACATAGCATGTGGTCACACAAGGCTGTTTTCTTAGAATGGCAGGCTAAAATGAGAACAGGGTGTACCTGAAACAGTAGTGTCAAGTTACCCCTTACATAATCACAGATTCACAGAATGGTTGAGGTTGGAAGGGACCTCTGGAGATCATCTAGTCCAACCTCCCTGCTCCAGCAGGGACCTCTAGAGCATATTTCCCAGGATCGCATCCAGGCAGGTTTTGAATATCTCCAGCGAAGGAGACGCCACTACCTCTCTGGGCAACCTGTCCCAATGCTCTGTCACCCTCACAGTCAAGAAGTTTGTCCTCATGTTCAGATGGAACTGCCTGTGGTTCAGTTTGTGCCCGTTGCCTCTTGTCCTGCCGCTTGGCACTACGGAGAAGAGATTGGCCCCATCCTCTCGACACCCCCCCTTCACATACTTATACACGTTGATCAGATCACCTCTCAGCCTTCTCTTCTCCAGGCTGAACAGGCCCAGCTCTCGCAGCCTTTCTTCAGAGGAGAGAGGCTCCAGTCCCCTC